TAAGGTAAGATTACAAAACCATCTTTTAAGAGGATTTCAGTGAAAAATTCATAATTATATCTCATATAGTTCAAAAGTTATGAAAAAAAACGTATTTTACAGCAAAATTTAAACGGGCATTTAAAAATTACTACCGCCGGAACAGCACAACAGCGGTATATGCTGGGTATTTAAACTTCCGCGTCAACAGGTTAACATTTATTTTGTGGTCGCAATGATTATCATAATATCCTGTAACAATTCAACTACACTGACCTGCGGAAGCAATCCTTGAGCTAGCAGTTCCTTTACCTTCCCAGTCATCATCAAATCTACTAAGCAGTTATGGGCATCCTTGATGTTTGCATGGCGAAAAGCACACAGACCAAGGTGTGCCATGGTTCGGTTATACAAGATCTGTGGAAACAAGGTAATACCAGATACTTGGTAACCATCTGAACACTGAATTTCTTTGATTTTAAGACAACTTTTTTCACACATTACAATTTCTGAAATTGTGGTGCATCTTACAATCGACAGCATCTAAGAATCAATGTAGTGTCCTTTTTCCTGAAAACCTGTTACTAAATCAAGGGTGCATCTTATAATCAATAATGCTGTCCAACTATATACTACGTAGGCACTAGATGGGGGTAAGTGGTGCTTTACCCCTGGGAAAGGACCCAACCAATGGCATCTTAAAATCAAGAAAATATGGCAATCTATTTTTTATCCATCTGATCCATAATACATTTGAATAATAAAGTAAATTAAAACAGTGTTAACACATCCAAAAATACAAGGAATAATGGGCAAAGTATTTATCCACATAATCACCACAGCAATCAAAACATCTGTCCCTGCAATACGCTACTATTCAATTTATGTGGAGACGGAGTCAGGACTCTGTGTTTGCGATCAAGAATGCTGGTGTTGCTGATGGAATTTTGGATCAGACATGGTATAACGACAGGTATTTTACACCAGTACAGAAAACCTGAACTAGTAATGTTATATATATCTTGGGAATCTTAATCATTTATCTTAATTGCTCTAATTACGCACTCGAGGGTTTCCATATAACTGTTTCAGATATAAGATTTGAAGCTTTCGTGGCGACATTACTCAATAAAATCTTCTGGGGGCGACCAGCCTTGTCATATGTTTAAAAGACGAAATCGACGTTTCAGGGACCATCTATGTCCCCATCATTAGGGTTCTGATGTGACTGCACGATGTCGGGAGTTGTCTCCCATATATCCCCCCCCGGCCAGTGCTCATGGCCGGACCCTAGCCAATCGCAGCTTGTGATGGGGACATAGATGGTCCCTGAAACGTCAGTTTCATATTTTAAACATCTGATGCGGCTAACTGCACGAGATGATTTTATTGAACTGTTTCGGATACATAAAATATATCTTGCGTAATTCTTTACCTGTGTCGCTGGATCCGAATGTTGAATTGCTTCTTGTAGATGTGACATAAGAATGAGGTCTCGAGCCTGGAACCAGTTGTCATGGAGCGCATGATGGTAGATATGTGCCAAGATGGCACGTGTGCGAAGTCGATCAGTTCCATCCTTAGCATAGATATACTTACACAGCTTCTCCATCACGTGCACGCTCGTCACTGCGTTTGCCGGAATCTTGCCCTTGAACGAGAAACATAATTTTATTTAAAAGGAAAGATACACAAAGTCTGTAACAGGATGAATTATAGCCAAGAATATATACAAAGTATTCTGTTGCTTAATAGTTCGATAGTGGATGATGTATCATGGATGATCTGTCTATGACAGAAATAAAGACTGTTTTACATTCAATGTAAACTTGGGCTGAAGTAATAACATTCATCACAATGAGTCAAACAAGACATGACAAAACTCTTTAAACTTTGTAATAAAAGTACAGATAATTATATACTAAAATGTAACCTGAACTTGTTAGCATGACTTAAAATTTGTATGTGAGAATGTTTCATACAACTGCAAAGTGAGGGAACTGGAACCTTTTCAACAAGCTCATTCTAGATGTTGAAAGCCATAATATGACAGAAATAAAAACAAAAAAACACTGATGTTTATCACAATGGGTTCTACAAACTCTGTTTTTAACAACTTTTCAACACTGAATGAAATATTCTTAAATCAATTTTGATCAATGTGGTTCTAATATATTATTCCAGACTAAAAATTTACTGATACGAGGTGCGATCAGAAAGTTTCAAGACTCTGTCAATAGAGGGCGAACCGGATGTAGTACGAGCTTCTGCCTTTAGGGGGTGCGGCCTACATTCATAGTGAATCAGTGTGCCAGCCGGCATCATCGAATTAGCATTTGTTTCTTAGTTACGGGCGTTTTG